TTCTTCTTGGTTATAGTCCCCATACAATTCCCACCCCCCCCTTGCTTTGATCCCACTCCCACCTCCTCCCCCCTCTGGCCCCCCCGCAGTGCATCTCTGGTTTATAGTTGCTTGTTGACTTTGATTTTTACTTTATTATAATTAGTCTTTTTTCCTGGTCCCTTATTTAGGTTTTCTAAATTCCTGCTATGAGTGAGACCATCCGGTGTTTTTCTTTTTCTTTCTGGCTTATTTCGCTGAGCACGATCCCTTCCAGCTCCATCCATGTTGCTGCAAATTGCATGAGTTTATCTTTTTTGATTGCTGAGTAATATTCCATGATGTATATGTACCACATCTTCTTGATCCAGTCATCTATTTTTGGGCATTTGGGTTGTTCCCAGAGCTTAGCTATTGTAAAAAGTGCTGCTATAAACATAGGGGTACAGGTATCCTTTTGAATTAATGTTTCTGTGTCCTTTGGGTAAATACCTAGGAGTGAAATTGCTGGATTATATGAAAGTTCTATGTTTAGTAGGTCCAGAAATCTCCACACAGCTCTCCATAGTGGTTGGACCAGTTTGCACTCCCACCAGCAGTGCAGGAGAGTTCCTTTTTCTCCACACCCTCGCCAAAATTTGTTGTTGCTAGTTTTTTTAATATGTGCCATTCTCACTGGTGTAAGATGGTATCTCATGGTAGTTTTGATTTGCATTTCCCTGATTACAAGTAATGTTGAACATTTTTTCGTATACTTAGTCTTTCAACAAATACGTACTGTGTGCCCAGAACTGTACAAAGTTCTGGGGATAAAGCATAAGGCATAGCAGATAAGATTCTAACTTATCTTCATCCAGCTTCCTGCTTTGTAATTAGTACTTGAAGGTTTCATATAAAACCTACACTATAAATATTGGCAAATACTATAAATCTGAGGTTGGGTTATTTTGTTGATTTTTCTAGATTTAAGATCAAGTGATGAAGAAAATGCTAATCATGCAAGTGAAACTTCATAGTGTTTGTTGTATTCATAGCTACTATAATGTGAATAGTACAAAAAATGAGGTGGTATTCTAGTATTCAAAAACTATTACACAATTCAGCAAAGGAGTCACTTGTGTCATTGAGAAATGAGTGAAATTCCACTTTCCTCATACTTTTTAACATAAATAGAAATATCAACCAACTTCCATGTCAGAACTATGCTCGTTTATCATTTGCAGCCATTGTTTGGCTACAGATATAATAATTCATCAAAATTAAACAAAAACTTTCTATGGAATCAGTTGGCTCATGTTTGAATCCATTGTTTCTTCTGTCTCCAGTATCATTGTAAGTTCAAATTCGAAGGTCAGAAGGGTAAATTCTCTGCATTGTCAAGCATGTTCTTTTGTGGGCAAATCTATCATAGCCCAAGATAGGTAATGGCAGAGGCTGATTTATATAGTAGTGTTAATAATTCCCTCTAGTAACACTGGGAAGGCCAGAGAGTATAAAATAAAATAAATCTTGCATATAAGGAGTTGGCTATATTTTCCCTCCATGATGAGTTAGAGCACATTGAATCTCTCCTTCTCTGTCTGCCTAATGCTGGTGTTGGGCAACTGATGGCTGAGACATCTGGGTAGGGCTAGTGATTGAATCAGCTCTGTGAGAAACTAAGAACCCATATGTGACACAAATGCACAGACCAGACCACTGACTAGCTCTTTATATACAAATGTTAAGTAAAAGGTTGGCACAGCAGCTTCACCTTTGTTTGGTTATTGAGTCTTTGCATCCAAGTTTCCCTTTCTCCTGACTTTTTTTTTTCTTGTAAATTTAAGCCATTAATGGCATGCCATAAAAGGGTTTTAGAAAGTTGAAATTTTATAACAATGTAGGAATTCACTCCTTTGAAGACATGTTTCAAATTTACAGCCAGCATGACCAAATGAGTGGATTTCTGATATGTCTTATGTCTTTCAGAATAAGGTTGAAATGTTTTTGAATGACCAGGACACCCTGGGTATCTTTGATTCCAGTGCTTGCTAATACTGAGCTTCGTGAATTTAGGCCAGTGATGCAAGTTTATATTGAAGGCATCAGAGAATGGTGAGGAAGAGAGAATTTGTTTCCAGAGTCCCTGGAACTGACTCATCTTCTAGTTCAAAAGACTAAGGACCCCCAAAGATTTGTGATGTCACAGTTTAGATGGCAAGGCTAGACTTGGGATTCTAAATCAGATAAAAGATCTATGAAAGCCTTTAACATTTTGTCCTCCTAATTGCAGGCAACTGTATACCTTCAGAAGTTTATTACTATCTAACCCTAAAGCACTCTGGAAGTGATGGAAGCCATTGAATCTGCTTTGGCTCATTCTTTTACTTAAATATTTCATATATACATATATATTCACATAAATGTAATAAATGGCTGTATATATAAATGAACAGATGATACGTGGATGGGTGGGTGGGTGGGTGGACTGATGGGTGGATGGATAGATAGACAGAAAATATGACTCCTGGGGTGCTGTGTCAGTTAGAATCTAACCAGGAATCAGAAACCACTGAGGTTTTTTCTTTTTCTTTTTTTTTTCCCTAAAATACAAGTCCACATTGTATTTGTATTTTGTCTTTGGTCATGCTGGAAGGTAAACCACTTAAGTGGATATTGAAAACAAAATGTTAAGGGAAAAATTGCATTAGGTTGTCATCTCATCATCAGTACTAACAAGTGAGAAGCATTTTAATGCTAATATTAGAAGAAAACAAGTGCAACATTCAATTAAAAGGAAAAATGAGTTCAAAATAAAGTGGATATTTAAAATATTTTTCTTCCATACTCATTTAGAAGTGTGCTTCCTTATAAAACAAAACCTTTCATTTATTCCTACATGTGCTAACCCAAAGAATAAAGAATTATGCATTGGCTCAATTGTTTATTCAAAGAAATGCCCAATTTTTTCTTCCTCAGCAAATTAGAAAAAATGGCAAGATTAGATTTAAATGATACCAATGCAAACATATCTAATTCAACCTCAGAATCTACATATTTATGCTTATTCCTCTAAACTCCTAAATAATTGTGTTGTAATGCTGTCATTTAGAGTATGAAGGGAAAAGATATATGGAAAAAATAAGGTGACTTATTCTATAATGTACAGAACTCTTAATATCACCTCTTCAAATGAATAAATATTATATTTCACTAAATTCTATGCAACAAATTTAAAAATAATGTATGTTAATAAACACAATGGCATAAACAAAAATTATAATTTTCTTAAAATATATACATTCCTTATGAACAAAGTAGATCCAGTGCATTGCTGTAATCCAAAAGCATATATAAATTTTACAATATACTAGGATCTGAGAGTATTTGTAAGCATCTATAGAGTATATTGTCATGATAGCTTTGAATACAGGTGAATTGACAGTAATACCAAAAGCGTGTGAATAGGAATTCCTAGGTTACAGGATATACATTCATCCCATCTCTGTAACTCCATAGTCTCTTTTGTATAGGTATTCAAAGCCCTGCCAGCCAATATATGCTGACACACACAAAAAAAGAGTATTACAAAATAATTGAATAACTGTACAAACTAAACACTAGGAAGATGAGCTCAGTGACCACACTGGGCCCTTCAAACTCAGACTCATTACCATCACAAATATTTCATTAAGGTCTCCCATGTCAGTGCCAGCTTGAAGATTTTATTGTTTTACTCACTTTGTAATCCACAGTGGAGCACAAATTCTCTTTTTTAATTGTAATATTTTTTAAAAAGATTTATTTATTTATTTATACAAGCACTGGGTACAGTCAGAAGTGCGGAAGGGTTACAGAATTCACCAGAGCCAGAGCGGGGAGTAGAACAGACAGACTGATGAAATACACTGCTGAGGGGAGCAGCGGGCGGCAGGAGAGGTCTGTTGTGCCATGTGGGACCCTCACCGGTGGCTGGGGATTGAACCGGCGCTGCAGAGGCTGCGGGTAGCTTCGCAGCCCAGCGCTCAACCGCTGCGCCACCTGGGGAGGCCCTTTAATTGTAATATTTTTATTGAGGTAACACTGATTTATAACACTGTAAACTGTACACAATTTACAGGAATAGGACCACACCTCTTCAGATGTCTGTTACCACCACACGCCCACCACAAGGCACCCATTGGCCTCCACCCTAGTCCATATTATGTCCCCTCCCTCATTTGCTCTCCGCCACCCCCACTCTCTCTCTCTGCCAGCCTTAACTCGACAGTCATATTTTTAGGATTTGTTTAGTTTTCATTTAGCTTCATTAACTTGTACATTTAGTTTCTTCTGCAGATTTGGGAACTATTCCTCTATTGTTTGTTTGACTATCATCTCTGTTCCCCACCTCCCCTTCTTGGATAACCATTATCCTTATCTTGCCCTTCTTAATGGAGCCAGCTGTTTCCTAAAGTGTTTCTTCATTTTTTTTGCTTTGTATTTCTCTCTTTTCTTCCACCTGGGTCCTTTGGTATTATTCTGATTTGATCTTCCATTTGGTCTATTCTGCTTCCATAGCTTTCTCTGGAATTTTTAAAAATCTCATTAATCGAGCTCTTTACAAATCCAGAATCTCTGCTATTTTCTTATTTAGATCTTCATTTCTATTTTCTTTTCATTCATTTTAGTTTTCAGGTCATCCACTTATCTGAAAATTTTTATATCTTTTTTGCTTAGTATTTTGAGCTTTCATATATCAATTTGACTGCAGTTTCTTCTACCCTTTTTAATTTTATTTTAGCAGTTTTGAATTCTTTATAGAATTCTTTATATGTGGTTGAATTTGAGAATTGTTCTCTCCTTGTGATGTCGTATTCCCTTAAGCTTCACAAGATGCCATGTGTTATATTTTTTGTCTACCCACTTTACTGCCTCTTAAAAGAGTTGAGCTACTTTTACTTTTCTTGCATGTAGTGCTATGGTTTATTTCATTTGATTTTGGTTTTTTGGCCTTTGCTGGCTTCCATAGATCCTGAGAACTGTTTTAGCAGTTGCTTCATCAGAGAGTGTGGGAGGAGCTTGTAGGGGGCCAACTGCTGGTTCAGGTATACTGGGGAGTGGGGAGAGAGGGCTTGCTATTGCTTGTGGCTGATGTACCTCTTCTCTGGGGTTCCAGATCTGAGACTTTGCAGTGTGTGCCGTCAGAGCACTTCATGAGATTAGTGCCAGTGTCGCTGCGCATGGAAGGGGATGTCCAGTCCAGCTCACTGTTTTTGTGCTTTTTATTGGAGGCCAAACCTGTGAAGCACCTCAGCTCTTCTGCACACTTTCCTCCAAGATCAAAGGTTTGCACCTCCGCTCCACTTAACCCTCTGCTCCCAGGGATCCTGTTTGAATTTGGCAGTCCTGTCATCTCTGCCCCCTGCCCAGACTACAGCCTTCAAGCTTTTCTCTCCACTCATCTGCTCACTGAAGTATTACTCTCTTCTCTCTCTCCTCTTCTCTTGCACGGTCTGTATTGATTCCAGTTTCACCTAAGCCATGGGGCTCTTTGTGCATGGCGTCCCTGTGGTTGACTGTTATGTGAACATCCTCAGAAATAAAACAAGGACCTCTTCCAGAGCACCCCAACACTTCAGTTTTGAAGAAAGAGGGACTCAGTCAGTGGCTTACGCGTGTGGAAGTGCTGGCAAACTGAACAGGGGGCAGCGAGGTGAGCTAGAAATTGACAACATTAGGTAGTATGAGAAACAGTAAAAAGAGTTGGAATTACTGAAGGCTGCAGTCAAGGAAAAGTGTGATAAGCTTCTACTCTTTTCCTCTCTTCCTTGTTTTTCTATTTCTCGTCCCCATCTTACTGATGGCAGTTTCTAACATCTCTAACCATGAGGAGGGAAGTCAGAGAAAGGAGTGGGGTGAAGATAAGGGGGAGAGGGTATGTATTTCTTGTCTGATCACCTGATGGCAGCCAGAACCATGGAAACATAGTGACTGTTCTAGAGGTCCTCTACCACAGAGAGGTTGGGGAAATGCCCTGGTTTCTTCTCCCAAGCACCCCCATCTTTTTGTAGTATGTCTCATTGGCTAACCTCAGCTAGAGCCCAGATGACATGGGAACTTAGGAAAGGAAGCTCTTAGCTTTCTATGTTACTACAAACTAAGAGACTTAAAACCATGCATATTTATAATTCCAAATTTCTCCTGGGAAGGAGTCCCGGCATTGGTGATGTGGACTTCTAGTCAGGGTCTCAAATGTTGAAATCAAGGTATTGGCCTGGGCTGTGTTCTTACATGAGACTCTGGTCTTCTTCCAGGCTCATTCAAGTTTTTTTCAAGGTTTATTTATTATGCACACAAGAACTGGGGTACGTGCCAGAAGTGGGGGGGGTAAGAGGACTCACCAGAGACAGAGTGGGGAACAGAACAGGTGGATTGACTGATTAATATCTTTGCAATTGTAGGAGTGGGTTTTCTTGCTGGTTGTGATATCTGTCATGGATCCCCGAGGTCTCACTTGGTCCTTGCCACTGGGCCTCTTACAAGATGGCCGCTTCCATCTTCCAAGCCAGCAGGAGATTTGTCCTCTTCAGTAGGCTAAGGCAGAGCCTTGCATAAGATAACCTCACCAGCAGGCTCACTACCCCATTAATTTCATACTTTCTACCCCATCCAAGGGGAAATTTTAATGAGCACATATATTAGTGGTTAGAGATTTGGAGGACCATCTTAGCATTATGTAACCATAGCCCTGACATGCTGAACAGAGGGAAGGAGGGAGAAAAATGGATCTGGAGGAACCAGGATCAGCACAAACATAAAATCAAAGCAACTTTATTTTCCTTTTGCTTAAATCTCCTGAGTGTGACTCCTCAATTGCTTACCATGGATGAAAACATTGGCAGATCTCAGGATTTCTCTGCTCATTCTTAGGTCACAGCACAGTGTTAATTTACTGATGAGATGTCATTTGTGTGCTTTTATGCTATAAAGTTGATCTAAGTTGATGATGCTTTCTTCAAACTTGGAACAGTAGAGTCTGGAAGCTGCCTCTGGGGAAGGTGGTGTGGTTCATTACTGCCCTGTTTCTTTGTGTTCTTCTCATCCCCCCTTACCTTGCCAAGTGCAGGTTCTGACACCCTCGCCTGCAGCTGAGGGGAGGGTGGGACAGCAGAGCAGAGGGTAGGCAAGGAAGTTCTTTGACTGGGACTGTTAAAGGTTGACATGATGCCTTCTGGGCCTGGCCGATGTTGAATACTCTGAGGGATTCCTCTCTGGGTTCTTTGGAGACAGCTTCAGAGATGACTCTTTCCTCAAATCCTGGATATCTGGATTCACCTCCAGCCTCCACTAAAGTCCCTTCACCTTTCATGTGGCCGTTATAGTCTGGATTGACTTTTGCTCATCAGTCCTCTCCCACATAACCACTTCTAGGTTACAAGAAATACTTGTGGGGGGCCTCCCCGGTGGCGCAGCGGTTGAGCGCTGGGTTGCGAAGCTGCCTGCAGCCTCTGCAGTGCCGGTTCGATCCCCGGCTGCTCTCCGGCCACTGGAGGAGGGTCCCACATGGTGCACAGACCTCTCCTGCCGCCCGCTGCTCCCCTCAGCAGTGTGCTTCAGGCCTTCTGCCTGCTCTGCTCCCCGCTTTGGCTCTGGTGAATTCTCTCACCCTCCCGTGCTTCTGACTGTACCCAGTGCTTGTATAAATAAATAAATCTTTAAAAAAAATAGAAAGAAAAAAATACTTGTGGGATCTTTGCTCTGACAAACTTTCACAGGCACAATGATGCCCCACTCAGCTACCTTTCCTTCAGCTGGCCAGCCAGCTGCCTACCCCTTAGGAAGTCCAATGAACTGTACCATATAAACCTAAGTGTTGGGGTCTTCATGAGGACCCACTAAGCTTGCGGTATAGGACACAGTCTCTCCACTTTGCTCTCATGGATGGTATGGTGAAGTAGAGATAAACATACCCTAATAGCATTCTTTTATTCCTTAGATAAAGGTAGGGGCTTAAGATTCGTGTAATATTTTTTGGTTTCTCTTTTGAAATTTTGTATCGTGGTTGGCATCTGACTTAAGAATATCATCTATTTTATCTTTATGCTCTATTTGAATTTATCTTTTCCAGACGGGGAATCTTAAAATTGAGGGAATCCCTGCTTGCATAGAGAGGACTTACCCATGTTTTGAAGGAAACTGATCTATTTTCCTGCCCACACATTTTTCTCCCATAGAGAGACTCAACTGTTGTGAGAAACTGTCCCAGATATACTCCTGGTGAGATGATTTGATTTTAGAGAATAGAATCCAACACCATACTCAACAGCTTTCAGATCTATGCAGTAATCCTAATAAACGTAATGACTTGGACAAGTGTCTGTGAACATTATAAATCATGTTTCATCAGCAAGCTGTCATAGGCAACTTTCATTGACTTACAGCCCAAGAAAAAGAATGGAATTAACTTCGTTTCCCTGCAGCATTCTTGTTATGCCGTTGGTGTTTCAGATTTCTCATGTCTCAACATTGAAACATCCATCTTAACTAATGGCAAAATTATACCCTCGGGGTTTTACAAAAGACAAAAATTTGTCCTCATCTACTATCTGAATATCTCTTAGAGTGTTTCAGCCCAGAGTCTCTGGAATACCACATTTCTTTGACCATGTTTATCTGTGTGTAGATGGTTGACGCTCTGATGTTTTTGTCTTCCTGCTTTGCTGATAAACCTGGATATGAAGACCTTTTCAGTGCTACAGATTAAGAGAAAAATAATCAAAATTGTACCAGGAAAAGAGAAACAAGTTTTTCACACAGGAAAAAAAAAAAGCCCACAAAAATAAAAAGTAAAGTGTATTTTTTAACAGAAGGAAAAGATAGAAACGTAGCAAAGTTTGCCCTCCATTACCCTCCCCAGGTCTACAAGTTTAAAGGAAAGAGGCTTGAGCACCAATATAACCTTCACCTGCAATACATTCTAAACTCTCTAAAGCCTCTGAATTCCATGTGCCATGACTAGGAAATGAACTAAATATGTGCCTGAAAGATAGATTTACAACCTCGCTGCAGCTGGGCCCAGATACTTCTCAAGCTATGTGTCCTCAGAGCCTCAACTGCCCATCCTTCTCCTGAGCCATTGCTTCCCAAGCCCTTGTTAACCCCGGGGCTTCTAGCAGAAGCCAAAACCAAGCTCTCTAGCTTTGTCTTTGCTCACGGGTACTGTGCTAATTTGCCATGATTAGAAGACCTTTGAAGGTCTTTGCCAGTTTTTATCAAGGCATAAAAAGCATTTATTACAATTAATGCAATTTACCATGTGTTACTTTTCCAGAAAAGCTATTTTAGGGTAGGTCTACCATCTGTCCCTTTCAGTGATAAACTTTATAATTTAATACTGTCCAAAATCACAGGTTTTGCATGTAAAACCTCCCAGGGTCACCCCTCCAAGGAATCCACTCCAGTATTTGCTTATTAGGCTCTCTGAGGTCTTGGGTTCATTGACCCTCTTCACCTCCATCCTGAGGGATTTCATGGCTGGGCAGGAGGGTGAGAGAATCCAGTCTCTAAAATGAACAATGCCGGCGTTTGTGTCTGCAGAGGGAGCCCATAACCGGCAGAGGGCGCGTTTGCTGTCAACATCTTTTCCCTTACAACACTGATGCGCGAAGATGCGGTCTACAAACGTGGCTTTAACAATCAGAAAATAGAGAGGAAACGCCATTGTTGGCATATGCTGTTGCCCAAGCCTAGGGAAATAGAACAAATGCTTGCCAAAGAGATCCAGCCTGAGAAAGCAACACAGGATGAAGCAAAGCATGACTCCTAGTTTTTATCAGCTGATTTTTAAAAATTGAAAAATGAACATTTAAAACCAAGGTCCTACAATCAAAGGTCAAAATAAAATGTAGAACAGCTATTGCTATTGTTATGTTCTGGGGGGAAAACACTTGATTTCTGTCTTTATTTTCCTTTCTTTTTAAAGTAGATTTGGGGGTCTTGGGGACTATGAAGTAATATAACTCATTTTAACAAGCATGATGCCAACCAAATTGCTGGAAAACTCTTACTTTGCTTCTCACCAACCTCCCTCATTCCTCTAGAAGAAATCTGGCTGCAGAGCTGCTAAGTACATAGTGAAAGAGAACTAGGACAGCCTTTTCCCAGTGGAAACAGGATTCACAGACTGTGAGAAGCAAACCAGTTTTTCCTCCCTGTTCACGCATTTGCTGGTAACTGCCATTTCTCAGGCTTGGCACCTCTTCCCTTTCCAATCACCGAGAAGATTTTATACAAGATATTTATACATCTGTATAAGATATTTGTACATCCACGAAGTACTGTCTATCTGTTTTTTAAGTGACTAGATGTTTTTATTTATTTATTTATTTTTATCCCTATGCTTTGGCTTATACAATAACTATCCTTTTTACTCTGATCCATGACAAAGCCCTTGGGTTTATGAGAGGTTGCTGGAAAATAAATTAGGTTCTTTGAGATGATCTTTGGAACCTTCAGCATTTGTTTATCAGGAGACAGGCTCTTTCCTCCTTTACTACCTTCAAATGAAGCCAGGGGACTGGGTCAACGGCATTTGTCTGGGGTGTAATGATAGTGTGTCCTTCTTCAACAGAAAGGGCTGCAGAGAGGTGGAGAGTTAAACTTTCTGTTGCTGGAGACTTTAGGTTTTCCTGAAATCCTATGAGCCAACATCAAGCTCTCACTTCTGTGCAAGGGAACTAGAGATGCCAGTTTTATTGTCAGTTTCTTAAACTGTCATTTACCTGACAATTTTCAACCTTGTGTTTATTGTTACATTTGCTCTCAGGCTTTTACTTACAAGCTTAGATATATATTTAAAATTACTACAAGATATTGCATTCCAGTTGAAATATGTTTGAAGTTATTTTTTTAGATTGATTTATTCATGCATACAAGAACTGGGGTGTTGGCCAGAGGTGCAGGGAGTGGGAGGACCCACCAGAGACAGAGTGGGGAGCAGAACAGGCGGATCCACTGAAATACACTGCTGAGGGGAGCAGCAGGCAAGACAGGAGCGGTCTGCTGCATCATGTGTATAAGCTACCTGGCCAGAAATAGAGCTCATACTGCAGTGGCTGGCAATAGTTGATAGCACTGAGACTTAACCCCTGTGGCACCGAGAGACCTTGTTTGAAGTTTTTAAGCAAGATCAAATTTTGCATATACTGGCTTGTGTGCAAGTGAAATATAATTTGCAAGTTGATTGAATAAAGTTAATAGATAGAAAAATGCACAATA